TGCTATTTTTTCGCCACCACGGCTGCCTAGTTATGATGCCCGCGGAGGAACCAAGAACGCCAACTTGAACGAAGACCAACACTCATCATATCACAAATATTAAAGAGCTCTGAAACAGAGAAACTTCAAATCCACAATGTCGCTCTGCAATCTCTGCCAGTCGTTCGACATCCTTGACTTCCCAAACTTATCGCCAAACTACACTGTCTACCCTGTAACCTCCAAAACATATCCTTCCCTGGTCTCCAACATTCACAAGCTTCGTATCGGCGGATGGAAGGAGGACAGGGAAGACCCGAAACACGACTCTGAACCTCTGGGGCTGCCTTACCATCAGTCTCTCGAGGCACTAGAAGCCGCTTGCGCGGACAACTGCGCAATCTGCACAGTCGTACAACGCGATGTCGCGCAATTCAAAACCGAGTTCTTTAAAGCGAAGAACGATACTAGTGCTTATAGAGAGAGGAGCGGAGGACCAGATTGGAGGATGTTCGCCGTGAGGGGTGTGGGTGAGACTGGGGGCTTCATGATAGTGTCGGCCGATACGAAAGCACCGTTCGAGATCTGGGTTGTTGCTGCCGTAGGTGTTTGTGTTGATTGTAAGCTCTGTACAAGCTTGTGACATGGTCGAATCGAGCTGACAGTCTTACAGATAAGGACCCGCTCACCAGCATCATCAGGGGACGAAAGATCCTCTCCGACTCTCAGCACACGCTTCAGCATGCTCTGAGTTGGGTGCGCGATTGCGATAAACAGCGGACGGATAGCCGCTGTCATGTTGATGCCGCACTCCTTCCAGCTCGCGTACTAGATATAAGAAGCTCGGCATCCCACAAGGTATCCTTGTATGAGCCCGCGGAGGGAGAGCTAGGACGCTATGCGGCACTGAGCTACGTCTGGGGCGAATCAAGCCCGTTCACAACTACGAAAGCAAACATCGAAGCAAACAAGGAGGGCATCGATATCGACAAGCTATCTGAGACGTTCCAGGATGCCATATTCGTGGCACGAGAAATGGGAATCGGATACTTATGGGTTGACTCACTCTGGTAAGTCAGACTTCTATCTTTGTATCGCCAGCATTGAACTGACAACCCCAGTATCTGCCAAGACGACTCTTCAGACTGGTCCCGTGAGACCTCCCGGATGTCTTCAGTCTACTCAAACGCCTATATAATGCTCTCAGCAACAGGTTCTGCTTCGTCTAACGCCGGTCTATCAATATTCTCTCCCACCCGCGCAGCACCAACTTACTCATCCTTTCCCTACACTTCTACAGAGGGAACTAAAGGAACTCTGCTCGTATACTCCTATTCTAAGGAGGTTACTAGATTCCCTGCCTGGTCAGGTCCTTACGAACTACTCAAGAACGAGCCATTGACCCAACGAGGATGGGCACTCCAGGAACGCTGGCTCGCACCCCGCATTCTGCACTTTGGAAGCAAGGAGATGTTCTTCGAATGTTACTGTGGGTTCAAGGGTGAAAGCGGTTTCTTGATGGAGGGCAGGAAGGATACGCTCTTCCCAACCACTCCTCCTGGCTCTTCTCCAGCAATCTCAAACGATACCAGCCTCGACGAGATCGATCCCGCAGAACCAGAGCCCATGGAACGCCAATGGAACTCCGTACTATCTAACTACAACAAACGCCAACTAACAAACGCCTCGGACAAGCTCCCTGCCCTCTCTGGTTTCGCTCGCACCTACCAAGACATCACGGGCGACACATATCTCGCCGGTCACTGGCGTTCCACACTCCTCCAATCACTTATATGGCAGGCGACCGGTCATCCAACCGTCCCAAACACGTACCGCGCCCCATCTTGGTCGTGGGCCGCCATCGATGGTTCTTTCGGCATGTTTAGTCCTGGTATGGGATTTGACAAGGGGGATTGGGTCAGTCTTGCCACAATACATGATGCTTGGACCAACTTGAAGAACGAAGAGAACCCTTTCGGCGAGGTCACGGACGGGCAGTTGGATATTAGCGCTCCGCTGGAACGACTTTTCCCCTTTTCGAGCGAAGATGAAGAGGGAGTGGAATGGCCCAAGAACTATAAAGGAGCCAAAGTACGAACACAAAACGCCGATGTGGAGAGCCGCGAGTACAATTATGTAATCTTCGATTCTGCAGACCATGCGGAAAGAGCAAAGGGTAGGGAGCTGTGGGTAGCGGTGCTTTTGAAGCATGTTCATGCAGAGGACAATAAGGAAATCTGGGAGTCGAGCGTGTCTTATCATGGGATTGTTGTTGCGGAAACAAAGGGCAAGCAGAATGTATATGAGAGGTTGGGAAAGATCCCTTTTGGTGAGAAAGATTTGGGAGAGTGTGGGTGGATGAGTGGTGGAGACTTGGTGGAGAGGTTTGCCTTGGTGTAGAAACTGTTAGTACTTAATAGTGACGAGACGACACAACTTTCGCTTACTCACCTACAACACCAACACACAGCGTTGTGCCAATGGCCTATTGGAATCAGACAGCGATGTTCCGCCTGTACAAGTGACTTACTGCGTCGGCTGCACTGCCTCCATCGCGAAGTAAATCGATGCCAACCTTGCTGCACACCTCAACTTCTGATGTGACTGCGCCATTTGCGCCGATATTCCGTTGGTGACTCTGAACGGTCCAGGGCGATATAGCTGAAACAATTGAGCAAAATCGGTAAGCCATCCAAGCACTTCACAAGTGAAACAAAAATGAAGTGCCGTCGTTGGCGATGAGCAATGAGTTCGTGAATATGCTCGAGGGAATCTGGTGCTCGAACAACGCGCATGACGCGCGGCATGAGTGGACGAGGCGGTATTGACATATCTTATCGATATCCCGGTAATGCGGGATTTGGCCTTCTGAGTGGAACGTTGTTCAGAGGTGGTTGGCGCTGTCAGCTGTGATCTGATGGCCTACGCGAGCAGCGCTAGGTGCGCCGGTGGGTCCATCGCGGACTCCCCTGGTTTGCGTCCCGCCCCGAGCGGCTGATCCCTTCCACGCTACCATCTAGTTGGCAATCTAGCACAACAAACCACAATTATCGAAACCACCGCGCAATGGACATCGACAGAGAAATCACGACTTCTTCTGACAGCGGCGACTCAGGGTCATTGGAGGATCAGCACCCACCGTCCACAGCCTCACGACTCACATTCTACGACGCCTTCACCTTACTTGTGAGCCTTCAGGTTGGATCTGGCGTGTTCTCCTCTCCATCACAGGTCAACAATCACTCTCCTTCGCCGGGCGCATCGCTTATCATCTGGGCAATATGCGGCGCAGTTGCGTGGGCTGGAGCAGCGTCCTTTGCTGAATTAGGTGCGGCCATGCCTGTGAATGGCGGCCTACAGGAGTACCTCCACGAGATGTACGGCTCTTACATGGCATTTCTTGCATCTTGGATATGGATCTTTGCCATCAAGCCGTCCTCCATGGCCATCTTGAGCATCATATGCGCGAAGTACTGGACCGAGGTTTTTCTGCCAGCCAACGACGAAGAGCCATTCTGGCTAAACAAAATCATTGCCACATCGGCTCTGGCAATGATGATATTTGTTAATTCAATCAGTACCAGAGCAACTTCTCGTCTTGCGAACGTTTTCCTCATCATCAAGTTGCTCACAGTGGCGTTGCTATTGGTGTGCTGTCTTGTGTTCATCGTGTTTGGGTTTCACGTAGGGACAGATACGCCCAACCGCGACTGGATCACGAAGAATTGGTTTCAATATCGCAATGAAGGAGAGGACTTTTCATTCATCGACTGGAACAGTGCTTCTCAATGGAGCAAGATTGGAGAAATCACAATGGCGATCTACGCCGGACTCTGGGCATATGCCGGATGGGACAATGTGAGAGTTATGAAAGGCTTTCAAATCGCGCGCACTGACGAATACTTGTAGGCAAACATTGTAGCAGGCGAGATGCAAGATGCAGCCAAGGACTTGCCTGCCGCGATTCACACAGCGGTCCCAGCTGTCATAGTATGCTTCCTTTGCGCCAACTTGTCCTACTACATCCTGATACCATGGAACGTGATTGGAGCCAGCGACACAGTCGCGGAGGTGAGTGCCTCGAGACTCGTATGTTCGGCACATAATTCTCTGATCTAACATACGCCTATGCAGACGGCCGGCCAAAATGTTTTGGGCAGGTCCGGTGCCGTAATTTTTGCTTTGCTCATCTCCGTTGCTTGCCTCGGGTCAATTAACATCAACGTGTTTACAAGTGCGAGACTCACGATCAGTGCAGTGAATAAGGGCTATCTCCCGAAATTACTTCCAGGACATGGCCACAGCCAGAATGGGCAACCTCAAGATCATCAGCTACAAGACGCTCCTCGAGATTGTAGCCTGTCTTCAAAGCTACTGAGTCTTTTCGGAGAGGGTCCTTTCTGGCAAACTCCAATGTGAGTACAATGAGCAACCATTTCCGTAATATAGTCTGACTGCCCATAGCAAAGCTATGCTTTTTAATGGTTGCCTCACAATAGTATACATACTAGTTGGTACCTTCAGCGCTCTTGTCACGTTCATAGGTAAGTTTTAACGCTTGCACCGCATTGGTGTCAATTTAAGGTTATTGACGAATCTTCGAAAACAGGTATAGCGGAGTACGTCTTCTTCTTCTTCGCTGTTATGGGCCTTCTTCATATGCGTGTGAAGCAACCTCATCTCCATCGACCCTACAAAGCCTTCATCGGCATCCCGCTATCATTTACACTCATCAGCCTTGTTTTGGTAGTTCGAGGAATACTCGCTGCTCCCGCACAAGGAATAGCGATCGCATTGTTGCTATTTTCAGGGACTATCTGGCACTTCAGGGAATCAGACACCTTCGACATCTTGAGGAGAAGAGTACGATATCAACCCATTCCGGCATGATAAGGTACGACCCGGACAAAGGCTTTGATTATGTTGCGGTTGTAACAAAAGATTAAGTAAAATCTAGCTCGCATTTGAGGTAGTGTCCTTTGGTCGGATTATTCCGTAGGCCGCCAGAAGATTGCAACAGTTCAAACACTCTCGGCGAACGATTTTGCCTTCCTCAACTTGTTATGTCTGGTCTTGTACAGGTACCATGCGCCAACGGTGAGCATCGTCAATGGCACGGTCGTTACTACGTAGATCCAGAATTGTGGGCTTGCCCGTAAAGAGCCGTCTTCGCTTTTGAAGTCGAAAACATTCATGCCGAGGAACGACTAGATACGCAGATTAGAAACTATCAAGCACATATATGAGGATAGAACAAGCTTACAGCTACGAACGAAGCAGGTAGATATATCAATGTGAACACAGTGATGACCTTAACGGTAGCATTATCATCAACACCTTCTTGTGTCAAACGCAGTATTCGCGTGCTTATCTCCCTAGAGTTTGCCTGATTTCCAATATCGAGAAGATTGGTGAGCTGTAAACAAGTCAGTCATCGCTTGTGTTTGTCAGTTTGTCTTTCTCACCAAGCCTAATGTTGCTTGTACACGTTGCGCTAGTGTTTCTGCTGCATTGATGTGACTTTCCAAGCGATGCTCCATGATTTGCAATTCCTGATGCACGCTATACGAGCTTTCTCCCAGGGACGGAATTTTGGTCGCAAATGCTGTGTTGATGCTCATCAAGGTCTTTACGAGCACAATGTTGCTGCGAAGACATTTGCATGCTTTACACACTATCTTATCTTCGATGTGTCGAAGCGTTTGGAGGCGCTCAGGGTTGATAGCAGGGATCGCATCTGGCTCAGAGATGTCGGCCACGTCGATGCGTCGTCGCTGTCGTTTGTGAGCTTTGCCTGTATATGGGTACGATACGTGCTTACAATTTGCTCCAAATCGCTGGCAAGGCTCTCTATATGATCTTGCCAGTTCGCCAGATACGACCAGATGATTATCAAGTGAACGGTCAATGGATGTCGTGTTAACTGTGCTCTATGCGAAGACTCCGCCATAGCTTCTAGTTTTGACTGTGCCACCGCGTCATCGCTGGGATGGATTATAACAATCTGGCTACTACGACTTTCAAATGAGAATTTATGCATAACACCCGTTTGTCTGAACGACCAAGTATCTCGTGGCGGTCGCCTCCCATTCCGTTCGACATACATGAACTGGTAACATAACTCTGTTATGGAGCTTCATTAGCACAGTTCCCAAGAACCATGACACAGGGTATCATGAGAGCTCACCAAACGACTGATCCCTCGATTGACACAACTGCCGAAACCCTGAAGACTCCTGAAAAACCTGGGGCTGATCACCGAACTTTAGGAGGACATCTACAAACATGCTGGAAATCTGCCACGTTTTTATTACTGTCAGCATCGCTTCCTTGGAGCACATCAAGGGCGACAACGAGAACTCCTGGCAGAAGGAACTATGCTTCACGTTAGCTTCTTGTGGTTCTAGTGTTCGGGCACGTACAGAATCCGGAAACCATCGCCGCTAGTTTTCTGCAGGAGTTCCCCAAGCTCGAACAGCGCTTTTGGACGTAAGATTGTATCTTGTTGTCTATCTGCATTTGATGAGTATATTTCTCTCAAAATAGGTATACGCAAGGATACCAGCTTACCCATACGAAGGAGGCGCACGTCGAATGGTCCCATATCGTCAAACAGCTGTTTCTGGTTGGCATATATCCGCTGAAGTGGTACTTCCCAGTCGTCGTAATATGCATTTCTGCTAGCAAAATCCGATGGCAGTTCCATAACGAGAACGGGTGAAAGCAACTGAACTATCATCGTCTCCGTGGAGGGGCACCCGGAGGCTAATGAGATGAACGCGCCATTCCACAAGGCTGAGGCAGTGTAAGCCTACGCATGCAGCCTCAGCCAATGGACGGTTGCGTGATCTTGCCTCCACGCAAAAGTAATGATCTCGCCCTGATCGTTCCTTAGCGAAAGGATAGGCTGACCTGTCACTCGTTTGTGAGTCTGCCTTCCATCCCAAGATCCAGTCAAGAAGACGCAAGATCGCATTTTGTGTACAGCTGTCCTGAGCCTGACCGCAGGACGCGTTTCATAGTTTTCGTCACAAGACACCGCGCCAAAAGACGTATCTTGTATAGGACAACGCGACTCTCGTAGCCACGATTTACAAGAAGTGTGGTACTCCGGTGAAGGGTTACAACTTATGATTGGTGAATTGAACAAGATTCAATAGATTACGTAGCTATCGGTGACGTAGCGCCAAGATCTATGACCAGCCCATTCGCTTATTGCTTTAGATCATTCGTTCATCGCTCCTTCTTCTTCAAAGCTCTGCACAAATCAGTTGGAAGTTCGAGTCTCATCGAGAAGGCTCACCGGAGGTCTGCCTTCATATGTCACGTCGTTAGTACTCGTGTTAACAGCTACGGAGGAATGCACGTGTCCGTACCTCGGGGATCTCGTCCGGCGCATAGAATTCCCACTTATCACGTTTTTCCTTGGTTATTCAGCCTTGTAAGTATACATGCTATTATGGGGTGAGACGTACTTTGATGTCGAATTCATCAATAGATGAGACATTTGGGTATCTCTCCTGTAAGAACGCTTCCAGCTTCTTTCGTGTTATATATCCCGATGTTTTCTCTTCGACAACATTGTGCTTAGGCTGACGAGCCATCTCAGCCTTTTGATTGGGGCTTGAAGGTCAGCAGGAAGTGTTGTGGATGAACGATTGGACAAGGCTGATTCGGGTTACTGACTCTCAAGAGAATCAGCCTTGGATAGCCAAATGAGTGCATTTATGTCAAACCTGAGGAACAGAGCCTCATCCGTCTGATGGTCCTGTCGCTTGTGCTTCAATTGTGCATGAGATAGAACCATTTGCCTGCAGCGAGAAGCGGGCGGCTATCTGTCGCGATTGGCTAATGTGCAGCAGGCTGCATATTTGCTTTTTTCTGGCGTTCTCAGCTCACGTAGCCTGCGACGCGCTTTCCATTTCCGGCGGCCGTGGGTCCTGTCACCGGGCCCAGTACCTCGTCCAGAGCCTTGTAGGCTGAGTCGCAGCTAATGGTATGCGATGGCCCCCACCACACTCAATGCACGATTTATCGTGGAGGCAGAGTCCATGGTGAAGGGCGATAACTTAGGCGACAGATGCTTGTGCCGCTATTTGTGATTGGCTTGAGTAGCATTCGTATCGTGGCGATGTAAAGCAGAGGACGAAAATGGCAGCTGATAGTTCGTTATGACCGCAGCCTCGAGATGAAGACTTGGAGAGAACGCACGTTCCCTGAATCTGCCGCAGTGATACATTAAGTTGGTCAATCCTTACTCAACTGCGGTCTGCACTACCTCACTATCTTTCAACATGGGCCAGTGTTTCTCAAGCTTGCATAACAAGCATGATATACCCAATGGAGAGGAAGCGCTCGTACCCCCCCTACCAAATGGAGAACATCTAGGCGATCCTAGGAAGGCAAAGCCGAAGTCCACCAAAGCACGCGATCAAGAACAACTTGACGCAGACGACAAAATCAGCACCACACTGCAAGCCGATGGGGAATCTGTTGACATCGAAAAGATAAAGTACGAACTTTTCAAGGAATTGAAATCCAACGAAGTCGGCGAGAAAGGCAAGCCCATAATACTCCCTGACGAGGTCAAACGCCTCTGGGCTTGCACCCATTATCGCAGAATTTACACGAGCCAAGTCTGGTACGACTTGGCATGGGAAAGAAACGACTTCATGGATCAGTTCGTTCAGATCATGTCAGTCTTGATACGTATCGACTTTGGCAGATGGGACCAGTTTCACACTATCTTCATTAATGGGGTAGACCGGCGAGATAAGCATCTCCCTTTTGATCTAGAGGAATTGCAAGAGGAGGATTTCTTGGGTGGAGTAACAGGATCCAACTTTCATGCAGCACAATTCGCCTTTTGTCCGATTCGGATTCCGCAACAAGAAGATGAGTTTAAACTGCACAGTGAAAAGCGGCTCCCCTGGGTCGATAACCCTGAGTCCATAGGGCAGGGTGCTTTTGGAAAGGTCGAGAAGCGAACAGTGGCAAAAGGCTTCTTACAATATCAAGACTACACTGTCAACTCCAGAGTGAGTTGCTACTGCCAGTCTAGGGCCTCTCATGCCTCGCTAACCATCCCGCTAGGCCAAAGCTGTCGCCGTTAAGACCTTGTCTGGGGTAGATGCACGCCAAGACGAGTTCAAAAACCTGAAAGAACTGCGCGAATGTCTCAGTGATCACAAAAGAATCATGGTCAATATCGTCACGATGGTTGAACAATCGACTAAGGGCGATGTCTATCATATCGTTTACGAGTTGGCCGCGTACGACCTCAATGTCTTCCTGACGAACATGCCTCGAAGTCTGAGAGAAAAACGCCATGCAACAGCAGGCCCTGAAAGAACAGATTCTGCAAATATGTGGCCTGGCGATCTGATTTCAGAGAGCGTTAATCTTGCCGACGCATTGGACTATCTTCATAACCGACTTTTCGCTGAGTCCCATGTATCACTCTCCCATAACGACATCAAACCGGAAAACATTTTAGTGGTCTACCCCGAGACTACCAACAGGCAGGATAGGTTCCCTGTCGGACAGTGGAAGCTTGCCGATTTTGGACTCTCGGTCGTTAAGCTCAAGCGACCATATGCTAGCCACAGCAAACACTTGAGCGTAGATAGCGCTGCACTGAGTCCTTCTAATCCACAGAAGACCCATAGGACTGACAGGCCTCCCTCTGTGTCAAATGCCATGCCCACACGGGACCCGGGCCAGTACACGGCACCAGAGTGGGACCAGACTACCCCAAAACTAGTAGACTGTAGAAGAGCTGACGTGTGGTCTTTCGGATGCGTTCTGTCTGAGATCGTCACCTATGCTGTTAAGTTGGACTGTCAGCTGGTTGAAAAATTCCGCGATTCACTTGGAAAAAGTGAGCAGCCCGGTCAACGGGAGCCGCAAGACCACCGGTTCTACGACCACGAATCTAAGGATGTTAAGCCCCAGTTTCTTAACCACCTCACGAAGCTACCAAGCGAAGCTCATGGAGACAAGCGTATTCCGGAAAACAACCATTGGATAAGTTCCTGTGTCGACCTCATCAAAGAAGTTGTTGTGCAGGACCCCAATCGAAGACTTGGAGCGAGCGAGATTCGAGCGAGGCTCAGTGAGATCGATTTGTCTATGCGCGACCAAAAGAGAATCTGGCTCAGTCATGAGCTACAACCACTGGACACGAGCATGCTGGACACAGGCGTTGCGGTATCTGGCTCAACAAGTGCTATATCCCAAAGTCCCACAGAGTATGGCGATCTCGACTACCCAAGAGATGAGTTGATAACTAGGGTGCCGAGTATCTGCGTTCATCACTCGGATAACTCAATGCCTGAGATTGCCCAGTCTCGGCACAGTGGTGACGATGAACGACGGAGAGCGACAGCGCCTAGATGAAACATAAAGAGCATCACGGCACTATGTCTCCATGTACACCATAGCCCACAAACTATAGGGAATGACAACCACGAAATGTGCTTCTCTACACCCTGCCACCCTGAGAAACCGGATGGGAAAGTTGATGCACGAGCTACTTCCA